TTTTTTTTTTCAAATTAAAGTACATTACATTAGCTTTAATTTAAGATATATATAAAAGTGTCAGACCTTCCGGAACATTTTCAAAAGTTAAGTTGAAAAAGTTAATTTTTTGTGAAAAAGTTGTCATTTTAAATCCCCCCCTATGGGCAGGTTAAATGTCAAATTTACAAAAAAAATATACCAAATAATAGGTAAAGACATGAAGCATCTATATAAAAAAAAATTATATTGATATGTTCATTTTTGAAAAAGTTACGGCACATTTTAGTAAAAAAAATTGAAAAAATTTCGAAAATTAGCGATTTTTAAATTTGTAATTTTTTTGGAGGTTTCCCCCATTTACGGGGAACGAGGGAAATTTTTTCAATTTTGAAGGGTAATGTCTTCGACTAGATACGATTTGTGATCTTTTGACGTATCGTTGAAAGAAATCCGTTCGGTGAGAGCTGAGAAAAAGTGGTAACAGACACAAAAAAAAAAAAAAAAAACACATCATAGTAAAACCAATACCTTCTCAGCTTCGCATCGAAGCTAAAAACTAATATTATAATACTTTAATATTTTATATATTTTGTCAGTTATTGAGTGGATTATGATAAACGGATTACACTCTATAGTAAGTGATAGTATTTCTTAACGTGAACTATTAATTTAATAACTACTATTCAAATAGTTAAAAATTACGATTAGCTTAATAATTACTATTCAACATTTTTCATCATGAAGTATTATTTTAAGTTCTTAAGTTGAATGTTCATACTGGGTCATGAAAAGAATAGATTTTGAAAAAAATATTTTCCAAAAACTAAATTTCAAATTTTTGTAAAGTAACGATCAGAATAAAAATTTAGTTTTAAAGACTTAAATTAGATATCCAGATAAGTAAAGACATTTAGTAATATGCTTCTCCTTAAGGGAATGTAAATAAGTTAAATTCACATGTGAAACATTTTTTAGAGCAATTAATTTGGTGGAAAATAATAGAAATATTAGTTCCACATACAACGAATACAATGAGATCATTGAAAAATTCTTTTATTGATTCAATATTTCAAACAGACAGACAACCTACTAGGTATTGTATTTGTAATATGATTTGAAGTAATGTTTTTTTTAAATTTTGAATATACAAAGCGATTCCTTTACCATGTATACCAAATTAATTGTAAAAAAAAAAAACCCAGCACAGGGGGGTCGCGGCACAGTGGTGACATGGTATAGATGGATCAAGTATAATGATATCTGACAGTGATTAAAATCACTATAAAAAAAAAACGCTTCGATGCAAATCTTTAGATAGTGTTTAATTTTAAAAAATTGGTGGACTATTCCAAAAGCTACATTATATGCTAGTTCATTATTAATATCATAATTAAGATAAAGTATGTAGAATGAAAAAGGGATTATTAAAAAATATTATTTCTCATAAAAAAATAATGTTGATCCATACACTTTTCAATATGTCATAGCATTATAAAGTTAAAAATTTTAAAAATAAAATCGAGAATTTTCACACAATAATAGCATTCGGTAGCCATTTTCACCGTGAAGATAAAATAAAGTCCGAAATTTTTTTTTCGCATAATAAAGTAAATTACATTAGCTTTAATTTAATATATATATAAAAGTGTCAGACTTTCCGGAACACTTTCAAAATTTAAGTTGAAAAAGTCAATTTTTTGTGAAAAAGTTGTCATTTTGAATCCCCCCCTGTAGGCAGGTCAAAAGTCAGATTTATAAAAAAAATATACCAAATGATAGGTAAAGACATCATGCATCTACAAAAAAAAGAATTATATTGATCCATACATCTTTCGAGAAGTTATAGCATTATAAAGTTAAAAATATAAAAAAGAATTTTTTTACAAAAATCGTATTTTTTTTATTAAGTTTAATGTCTGTTTTCACCATGAAGATAAAATAAAGTCCGAAATTTTTTTTTACCATTATAAAGTATATTACATTAGCTTTAATTTAAGATATATATAAAAGTGTCAGTTTTTCCGGAACACTTTCAAAATTTTGAAAAAGTAAATTTTTTGTGAAAAAGTGGTCATTTTAAATCCCCCCCTGTGGGCAGGTAAAGGGTCAGATATAAAAAAAATATATACCAAATGATAGGTAAAGACATCATGCATCTATAAAAAAAAAATTATATTGATCCATACATCTTTCAAAAAGTTATAGCATTATAAAATTAAAAATATAAAAATGAATTTTTTTATATAGATGCATAATGTCTTTGAAGATAAAATAAAGTCCGAAATTTTTTTTTTTGCATAATAAAGTATATTACATTAGCTTTAATTTAAGATATATATAAAAGTGTCAGACCTTCCGGAACATTTTCAAAAGTTAATTTTTTTTGAAAAAGTTGTCATTTTAAATCCCCTCTTGTGGGCAGGTTAAGGGTTAAATTTATGAAAAAAATATACCAAACGAAAGGTAATGATATTACACATCTATATAAAAAAATTTATATTGATTTTGTCATTTTAAAAAAAGTTATGATAATTTTAAGTAAAATAAAAATGTCAAAAATTAGCAATTTTTATATTTGTAAATTTTTTTGAAATTTCCTCCGTTTACGGGGAACGAGGGAAATTTTTTCAATTTTTGAGGGTAATGTCTTCGACTAGATACAATTTGTGATCTTTTGACGTATCATTGAAAGAAATTGGTTCGGTGAGAGCTGAGAAAAAGTGGTAACAGACACAAAAAAAAAAAA